GTGAAGATGAGTCCACTTCCCGCAGAGGACCCCCCCCCCCCCCCCCGGCGGCCTGCGTGAGCATCCCTGTAATTATATTTGCTTAAACAGGTCAAATATTATCTGTGGCTGTGGGGCAGGGTTTATTGCATTTCCCTGCGAGGGAGAATCTCAGAAGCATGTGTGTCTGTTCTAAGAATATCCTGCAGGCCTGAAATAACTGAAGAGGCCGGAGAGCTTGTTTACAAGGTAAACATTTGCTTCAAATTAGATTTCAGTCGAGCCGCCGGACTGGTCCAGTCAGGGAGGAGGATTGCCTTCTCTCAGTCGATCAAAAAGGCAGAAAGATACAGCACACATTGTGAAGTTACTTCTAAACAAATCGAATGGATTGTTAGGAAAATAAAATACTTCATCCTTTTTCTTATCATTTTCTTTGATTCTTTTATAATCAAATGAATAAAGATTACATTAATTTCACGCTGCGATTTATCACCTTTTTTATTTGGCTTGGCACGAATTAAATCTTTTATTTATTGCATATTTCCTTTCTTTCTTTGCTAATAATGACATGGTGTGTCCATACATGTCTTTTAGATAAATAGGTTGTGTAACATTAGTCTTGAAATAAATGTGATTTACCTGAACACCAGATTTGAGGAGTAACAGATCGGTATAGGATACCATCAAAAGGTAACTGTAGTCCCTTACAGTTGCAGAACAAAAGATGTAATCTGATTACTGGTACATTTCTTTTGAATGTGGTTTATAAACAGGCGTACATATATAATGGTATATAACTATGCACATTACAACACCTCCCGAAGCCTTCTTGTTTATTGTTGTTCTTTAGACTACTGCTATAATGCTGCACATTAACATCCTGGTTATTTGGTGTGCACTTAACGTGGTTCAGAAACCTACACAGGGTCGTTAACAGATGTTTACCATGTACAGATATGTCCATGTCCAATTGCCATTCCAATCTTTGATCTCTTTTTTAACTGCACCGCTCTTCCTTTTTTGTCTCTGATTTACTGTACATATTTACAGGGTAATACATCCTATTCTCTTTACACTTACCTTTAGGTAATATACTGCTTGCAAAACACAAAAAGCTCATTCCTTGTATGTGTAACCCTACTTGGCAATAAACCTGAATCATTTAAAATTGCATTGTAAATATTTAATACACATTTGTAATATTTTAAAACATAAAAATGTTGGTTTTCAACAATATTCAAATAAATGAGAATCCATTTGACATCATATTTTTTAGGGAAAGCCCATTGTAGTAGTGACAATACAAATTAAAATTGCATTATTGGACCTTAAGTGAGAAATCAACATCCTATTGTCATTTGTATTTAGTCCTAAATCCAAAATGCTTCTATATTCTGGTCCTTCATACTGTACAGCAAGTACATTCAAATAATACCCACTAACTTTTTCGGGTTTCTGACGACAACATTAAGTTCCAAAACTGTCTTTTTTGTAGAAACAGAGAAACATTGAAACAACTGCAGAATACCAGTGAGTGAGCCAGATGTTAATGTGGCTCTGAGTTCACATTATGGACTGTCCACAGCTTATAAAGACGGGAGGATGCAGGCCAACAGGACGGAAGCTCTCCTCTGCCCAGTGGCTTCCTGTTTTCTGACACACAACTCAATGAGAGAGAGGGAACCTGCTGACCCCGGGTCACTCTCCTCTCACACTCCGACACACACGGGAACCTGGGGAGATGCTGCTGTTTGAAGTGAGGGCTGTAATGAAATTGTTTTAATGAAAGGAGTTGAAAGTGACACACCCAGTATAAAATCTGTTTTCACTGACTTACTAATTAATGCACTGATCACTTAAGACCAGGGGTGTCCAAGCTACGGCCCGGGGGCCAAATGCGGCCTGTGGTCTAAAAGTATAAAGGAAATGGCCCACACATGAAACTTGTGCTTGTCTTATATTGTTCTTCTTAAATATATGTGAACATATATTACACAGTAGCATTCATGTGTTAATAAGCCCAATGTCAAATACATTTGATCATAAAGTTGAAAACATTTTCTAACAAATCTTAGGTAATTAGAAAAAAGCCCAATGACTTATTTCCATTACAAGCTTGAAATATACTCTTCATATTTCCCCTTATTATAAGCAATCTGAGCAAGCTTCTGTTTTGAGGGATGAGCTGCCAAGAAAATAAATGAAACCCTATGGAAAGCTGGGATGCTGTTTGTTTTGTTAAAGCATATTCAAGTATCAAGCATCATTTACCTACATTTGATTGATTTTGTTAACCTATAACTTAACCTATAAGGCAATATACCTCACCTTTAGCTAGTGGAGCAGACCTTAGTATGTTTTCTGTATTTGGCCCTGAGTGAAAAAGGTTTGGACACCGCTGCTCAAGACTGACATGTAGAGGTAGAGCCCTTTATAATGTATGTGTATACAGTCTATGGTAGAGCCAGGAAAGACAGCTAACACTCTCCATCTAGTGGTGAAAATAGTACAAATTATGTATACTAATATTAATAATAATAATACAAATAATAAACTCAGGCTCAAGGGCATTTTGGCTCCTACAAATACCATAATAAATACATTATTTTATTTGATGTAAACACTCAGAAAGCTAGTGATACCAATCCACAAGGAGGAACCGGCTGGAAAATGAAGCTTCTTCAGTTTATTAAAAAAATGACTTTACATACAAAGTGATATCATGTTAACAAGATAAGATAAGATGGACCTTCAATAATCCGTCGGGGGGAATTCACGTGTAAAGGCAGCGACAGAATAAGAAGAAACACATATTTCACACACGGAATATACATAGGAAAAAATGAAAATAAGAAATACAATTACAAAATGAAATAAAATGTCATTAAACGTGTTTTTACAGTATTAATAGAAATAACAAATCACGGGAGTTATTATTCTGTACACACTCCCTGAATACACCTATGTTCAGGTCTGCCTTCAGCTGCAGTTCTCACCACCTGCAGAGATTGAAACACACTTTCTCTCTTTGATTCATGTGAAGTGAAAAGAAAAGCTGCCTAACAAATGGTTAAAAGACAAAGTTATGACCTCTGCCAAAACAGGCTTATCTCACAGTTTTAACGTTGCAAATGATACATACGAATATAATAACACATTAACATTATTTATGTTACTGTAGTCATTGGGTCATGGAATACTGTGAAAGCGGGCAATTACAAAAAAATGTAGATGAATAGAAAAAGGATTTTAAAATAGATTTCATGCCATGTTACATATTTGCTAAATACATGAAAATTAAAAGACAACACAGGGTTCTGGATTTGGTTCTGTGAAACTGAAATACAAAGGGCCTTTTAAGGAGGCCTTTCATTTGTCTAAATACCCATTTCCTTTTATTTCTTGAAAATCAGAAAAGACCATTTAACCCTCTGGAGTCCAGGTGCGCATAATTTTACGTAATTAATCATATATTTTCGATTATAAGGAGTAGAAATATATCCGCGGAATCGCTGGAAGAGTAGCTTTCCAGCGGTATCTCCTGTGAGACTGTAACCAGGGCGCAGCAGCCAATATGGCCGCTCAAAGCAGCTTGACTTTACACTGTGTGGGATTGGTGGATTTGTGTGTCCGTCAAGGAAATCTCGGCCGGCAGCCATCAAGGTCTGAAATGACTAATGGACATCGATAAATCACTAAGGACTTACCCACCAAGTAAACAAAACATAAACCACGTGTCTCCCATCAGTTTACGTCTGTGAGGGGAGAGAGAGAGACAGAGAAAATGGCTAAAAAAAACTTTACAGTTGCCGACTTCGCTAGAGATTTATTTCGCTAGCAGCAGTGAAGATAGAGCCTCAGAACCTGAAGTATTCCACTCTTCTGAAGAAGAAGAATACAAAGACAACAACAAGGATCCATTTGGGCATGGGTAAGTGTAAATATTACAGTAATAGTGTATTGGCAATGTGTGGGGAATACCGCGAAAATGAACAATAGGTTTATTGATATATATTTTTTATCGATAGTCATGAACTTTTTATTGAACAAAATAGACTCTCCATTAGCAAACGTTTACTCTGTGTTAACGTTATTTTGGTGTGTAAAAGTGAGATTACATGTGTAGATTAAATTCATCATTTATTCGTCCCACAACGGAGACATTTACAGTGACATGTTTTTGCCATCGATTATTTGTATCATACCGTCCTGTACAGATGAGACTTTGTAATCAGATGTAGCCTATGTATATGTGTGTCTGTGATTTTATACTGAATGTAAAGTAACTGGAAATGTGTGTGTGTGTGTGTGTGTGTGTGTGTGTGTGTGTGTGTGTGTGAGAGAGAGATCGAGAGAGACTCCTTCTCCAACCTCCCAAACTTTCTTTTTATGTGTGCATTGTTATTTGTGCTTGAGCAACATTTGACTTGAACTTTATTTCAATGAAATTAGTTGTAATTATTGTCCTACATTTTAATTTGTTTTACAGAGATCTTTCACAGCTGCCTGGGCCTAGTGGCCCACAGGTGGTGTTTATCCAGCAGCCAGAACATCCATCTGTGCCGGCCCCCAGGTCAAGATCTACCGTGGCTCAAGGGCCTTCACCAGAGCCATCACCACCAAGGACCAGCATCACTACAGCTGCCTCCACCTCCATCTGCGGCTGCCACCAGGTCAAGATACACCTCAGCACAAAGGCTCCACCACAGCCATCACCTTCAACCCAGCCAGCAAGGAGGTCTCATGGAGGTCTCGTATAGCACTTGTACACCCCACCTACACAGCAGCCCATGCACCATCACACCCACCGACACAGCAGCCAGACCCACTGTCTTGGAAGACAGACAAAGACCTTGACACTGTCTTGACATTTATAATGAATAGTTGGTTGAAAGTTCTGATGTTCAATATTGTATATAGTTAGATTTTCCAGTTTCTTATATTTATATAAATAGTTGGTTGAAAAAAACATATTTATAATAAATTGTTGGTTGAAAAAAAAGGTTGAATGCTCAATTTGTATTTGTACACATCACATGAACCTTGGTATGTAATATGAAGTCATTATTCAGTCCTGATGTATCTCAGTCCCTGATGTATCTCATTTTAGACATGAATAACACATTTATATACAGTGTAATTCAAATATTTCACTGCTTTTGTGATCCTAAGACTTTGGTAACCAAATCTAAAACACCAAAACAATTCGATCACATGAGTAAATTTGTGTTTTCACAAAAGTTTTGAAGATTGTCCGAAAATCAGATGTCACATTTTAAGCTTTTGAGCTACTTATCTCATCAAACAGTGCTCTAAGGTGAGTAATTTGCATATATAGCAATACTAGAGATTGTCCTGAACATTTTGATATGTAACACATGGGTGCCATGTTAGAAGAAATACATTTAAAAGGTGATTTAAGAAAACATCTAAAAATAGAGAAAATACCCTTAGACTCCAGAGGGTTAAAGTGCAAAGAAGCCTGCGTGCTTGCTTTCTGGGGACACTTCAGCAGGGGGGATGTTGGTACCATCAGGTTTTCTTGGTTAAAGTACGATCTTTTTAACAATCAGAGTTGACATGGGATTGGTCCGATGTTCTCCAGCTGGATACCCTCCTCCTCCTGCGGTTGGGCGTCAGGCTGTGCAGGCTCAGGTTGGTCCTCTGCAAACTTCTTCACCTTTGTGTCTTTGAGAATCTTTGAGACGAGCCGCTCATAAAACCACTCCAGGTCCTGAGGGTCCTCCGGCCAGGTCAGGTACTCCCTCCTCTGGACGAAAGCTCTGACTGCGTGGTACTTCATCAGCTGGTAGTGAGCCATCTTGGGTTTTATTAGAAGATACAAGTCATTAGTGAAGGTCAGGAGTTAAGCAATGATGAATGGAATATGTATGGAGCCTGACATCTACGGGTGGGAGGGAGCTACAGAAATGCCAGTTATACGCTTGTCTTTGGGGCTTAAGATGGGATAATAGCAGATGGCGAGTTTTGTACATAAAACTAGGTTTGGTTACTAGCTATTATCTATATTTTTCCAATGATCACATGACTACTTGTAGTCGTCACTTGTGTTGTTGAGCCGGACTCTGCAGGTTCCTTCAGCTCTATGGAGCTTTATAGCATCTATCACCTCATTGTTCCTTTTTGACTGTCCATAATTCATATTTTTGGTTCATTCTCACCAGGATTGTTAATGGTTTCACGGTGCACCAAAGCTGGAAAGAAAAGTGAGCAACTAGCTAATAAACACAATGTAGTATTTAGCATATTAGCACCAGATATTCCCCTCAGGATTTGGGGGCAAGAACCAGAACTCAAAGATCAGAGAAAATATAATATTTTGAATTGTTCATGTGGCAAGAAGACAGACCCCAGATAATATGGTTCATTATTTCTTTAATGTGTCAATACGCAAATGCTTGCTAATGGCCCTTGCCCCCAATTTCCCAAAAATCTGATATTGCTAGACATATGTAAATAAAATCTTTCAGAAATGTGGTGTAAAGAAAGTAAGTCAGCAGCCTTATACACACCTTGCCTACCACCACCATAACCAGGACGTTTGTCAGCTCCTCCAGCATCCGGCCCTGAGCCAAAGTAAACGCCTCCAAGCACCAACCATCTGAAAAGAGGAACGAAACAGTTAACCTCTTTAATTTCTTTTGGTTATTCATTTTATCTTTTGTGCTATTTCACTTTCTTGCTAAAGGTTAGCTAACATATAGAATACCACTCCATATATTTTAGCCAAAATATGAAACAACCAGGAGATTGTTAGCTTAGCTTAGCTTAAAAAGCTGAAAGTTCTGGAGTTTTGTGCCATGTCACTACTTTCTTGGCTGGGAGGTGGGACTTCCTGAAGGTTCTGCTGGTTGCCTGCTAATGTCATAGAGATGACAACACTCATAAGCCACTGTTTCGAAGAAATAGTCCAGCCATTTTACAATTCAGATTTGTAAATCACTGCAGCTAGGTGAAAAGTTAAACCACTGGTGGTTAGTTAAAACAATATCTTCAGGGGGTGTTAAATGACATTCACATGCACATTAATGGCATCTCCTTCTCACGAAAGGGAATTAATTTAAATCTCCAAAGGTCGAACTATTCCTGGAAAGTATTTCAAGGACAATTTTTAAGGAGACTACAGCCGACTGTTACTACAGATCAGAGTTAGAAATACTGTACCTTTAAGGAACTCTTTGGAGACCACGCACACAGTCTTCCTGCTGCTCCAGATTGCGTCCCTGATGTTGGTCAGGTGATCCTCACCAGGCAGGAAGTCTCTGGCCTCGAAACAACAGCGGAAGAGGTTCTCCTCGGAAAACTGGTTATCCAGCTTTTTCAGCAAAGCTGCTTCCACCCACCCATAGTCATTTTCACTAAAGCTGAGGAAGGCATCGTACTGCACTTCGTCCACAGGAAGGTTCGGTTTTGGGCCCTCGAGAACCCTACCGACGATGGTTTTGTAGATGATGAATATGTGCCCTCGGAGACGGGCGTAAATAAACCCGCTGAGGATGACAGTGATGACGAGGACAGCGTTGAAGATGAACAGTGCCAACTGAAGATCTTGGATGGCCTTTGCATCGTCTTCCCCACACGGTTCGATGACCCTGGAGAAATTCTCCAGAGGGAGATTTTGGAGAGCGGCTGGGAACTCACATCTGTACTCCTCAGTCGGGCTTGCGAAGGTTACATTCGTCACGTTCAGCCACTTCAGGAAGCTCTCTAGATTGCAATCGCAGTAGAACCGATTTGCAGCCAGACTGAGGAAGCTGAGAGACAGAAAAGTCACAGGGTCCGGGGAGGCTAAAAAGTTGTCCGAAAGGTCCAGTCTTTTCAGGGTGGTCGGAAAGAGATCCTGCTGCAGATAAGTTAAGGCATTAGATGATACGTCCATCTCATAGATTGAGCTTAAACTGCTAAAAATCCCTTTTGGGAAAGTCGCAATGGAGTTATAGCTTATATTTAAACCGAGCAGATTGTCTAAATGATCAAACAGGTCGAGGCACTCCCCCCGCGCCCAAATGACATTCAAGGAACTGTCATGAAGATCCAGCACTTCCAAACTAATATGAGGTACTTTCAGACTCATTGTGCACCACTTGATGATGTTGCCACCATAGAAGAAATGTTGGAGACGATTGAAAGAAGTTAAAATGATATAAACATCCTCTAAACTTGTTAATCTGTTGTTTGTTATATCCAAATGGATACTGTTCTTGCCAAATTTGCTGATTCCATACAGAGATTTAAGCTTATTGTCACCCAAAAGAAGATAATCTAAGTTTGGTAATGCGGCAGGAGAGCCAAGGCCTCTGAGGGAATTTCCTGTCAGATATAACGCTCGTAACTTTGGAAGACCACTGAAGGCTTTGGGTGCCAATGCACCAATGTGGTTGTAAGACAAATCCAACACCCGGAGGTCATTGAGATTGGTAAATGTGTAAGAATATACTTCTCCTATGAGGTTGTATGACAGGTTGAGCATCCTTAAATGTCCTTGAAGACCATTGAAGGCATTTTGGTCAATCTGATTGATTCTGTTCAGGGAAATGTCAATAATTATTGCATTCCTTAGGGGACTCAAAACTGCCTTCTGCAAAGCAAATATACGGCTTTTAGACAGATCTAGAATGTTGACTGAGCTGTTCATGAGGCCTTCAAATGTGCTTTCATCTGGATCAGGAATGTTGGAAAACGAGAAGTCTCTGCCAAGGTGTCCAGAGAATATAAGATGAGTAATTGGAGTACCCTCTATTGCTTTGAAAAAGTGTGTTGATGTTTCCGTGTTGAACCCACTACTGGATAAGTCAAGGACTTCAAAGGCCATCCCTGTGAAAGGGTTTCCGCATTTCTTCCAGTCAAAATCTTCACTATAACCCCTATAAAATTTATTTGAGTTCAAATTCAGGAGTTTGAAGTATTTCCCCCGGAAACCAACTAGATCATCTTCACATAATGTTTCAATCGGATTCAATTTGAGGTTAAGCTGTGTGAACTTTGTAAGTTTTGAAAAGAACAGTCCTGGTCTGAGTCTCACTATTTCATTAAGGGAGAGATCAAGAGTTTCTAAGGACAAAAGGGGCTCCAGGTAGCGTTCTGCTAGTATGGACTCAGGCAAATTGCAATAGTCCAGAAAGAGGTGTTGTAAATTAAACAATCCTGCAAATGCCCTTGGCTCCATCTGAAGGCCAATATTGGAGCCTAGGACCAGTGTTGTCAATTTTCTCTGCCTAAGGAAAGCGTTGTTCCTTAAGACGAGCGGCACTTTCTGCATCCCAAGATCTAATTGTTGAAGATCGTCATAGTTTCTGAGCGAGCTGCTGTTGATCTCACTGATGAAGTTCATCTGCAGGTAGAGGTGGGTGATGTTGGGAGGCAGAGTCGGAACCCAGTAGTGGTTTCTCGAGGGGCAATCCGCCACAAGGCCGTAAAAAGTGCATGATGGGTAGCATGTGGGTACCTGCAGCCAACATTTGTGTAAATAAAAAATCACTGGACTTTTAAGATGAAGGAATAATTTGACAATTCAGGAAATATGCCTGTTTTATTTTTTCTGGCTGAGAGTTAGATAAGGTGAAAGTGGAGCCAGCAGTCGGTTAGCTTAGCTTAGCATCAAGACTGCAAACAGAGAAAGGCAATGATTAAGCTTTTGATAAATCCTTACAAACAGTTTGATTAGTCAACTCTAAAAGTGCCGTTGGCCAGTTTGTGTTACGTTTCATACAGAGCCATGGTAGCTGTTTCCATTCTCGGCAAGAGAGTAATTTGGCTTGAATTTAAGCATATTTTCAAAAGATATAAAACATTTAATTTATTTATTGTCCAGCATCAGATTAGCTTTAGATTGTTTTTTTTACTGAATTTCACGTTACTGTCAACTGTTCAGTTTGGTAAAACAGTGAAAGTAATCAATTTGAGCTAAAAGCCACACACATACCTGAAGGTAAAAACCAATGAAAACCAACTGAAGAGCTGACGTCCACATCCTGCCTGACTTCGCCCTAACATGAAGAGAAAGTCAAACATTAGTGACGCTTCAAGAATGTGATTTAAGGACAGGTAGGTATGTGCAGGGGTGCCGCCAGGGATTTTGGGCCCCATGGAAAGATATCACATTGGGCCCCACCACCAGGCCCAGGCCACGCCAACCAAGCTCAATGCTGTAACCACACCTCCAGAACCCAACCGACTCATTTATGCTTTAAATAACTCTACCTGTACAGGCCTGCATCTATCTTGTAGTCCAATACTAACTGCACAATATTTACTGACACTGAGCGGTGAACATATAACACTGTGCAGACTGCAACATTCTGCTGCAGTATAATTCACTATTTGATATAAGACTAACATTCCTGACAATAGATCTCAATAGTCATCTTTTATGGTGTAAATACATTTTTAATAAAAATTTTGAATGGAACATTCAAAAATCAAAATAAATATAACTTAAATATACATGACCTCTTAAATTAAAATAAAGTGAACATTAACACCAATATTATCATTTATAAAATGCTATAACAAAAAAAATAACAAGCAGCAGATTTTTTTATTAAATATACATACCAACTACAAAATAAGCGGGTATTAAAGTGTAAACGGACAACAAAACGGAAATGGAAATTAAAAGGCCTGATGGGGGTGCTAAATCAGAGCCTATTACCTGTTCTCAGTCTTTTTCTCATCATGCATCTTCTGTGTAGTGATCCAATATCGTTACCATAGCCTTGCCCTTTAACAGTTATTACGAGCCCTGGCTCAGCCTTACTCACCAAGAGCCCAGCGCCTAGCCTTCTTACAGGCAAAGTCACTGATCAAGTCCTTGAAGTCCAGCTTTTTTAGTCAACTGGCTTTCAATGGACAGCATGGCAATACTGCAAAGCCTTATGGGGGGACAGGGCTGCGGAGCCTAAAGATGGATCTGTTGGTCCTGGCACCAGGGGAGGGACAACTGATTTAGTATGAATAGCTGCTGAAAATGTACCTGCATTTATTAAATGTCAGCTAAAAGAGGAGTGAAATAAAAAACCTCTGCATTTTCTGTGAAGATATTAACAGTACTTAAAGGTGGGGTAGGTCATTTTGAAATTTTTGAATTTGAAAATACACAACAGGAAGAAATCTGCTACTTCCTTACAGAGCCCCTCCTCCAACACACACGAACTCGCACATGACCAATGAGGGCACGAGATAAGTTTGTGCACAGATGGAAGGCTGACAGGCAGGTAGGCCATCCAGTTACTTTAGCCGGGCCGGCTCAGATGATTGGTCGTGCTTTTTACAGTGCTACGGCTTCCACAGATGACATTTTTTATGGATTTTTTGTCAAAGCCCTTAAGATATTCATTGCTATCGGGATGTTAAGAGCATTCCATGGAATATAACAAAACGTGTATCTCGAGCCGGTTTCTCAAACTTACCTACCCCACCTTTAATGTCAGCAAAACATTACAATTATTATTTACAATGGACTACGCTTAGCTAACAGATTAATTTCCACCACTCATGGACCACACCCATCTTTTCTTTTGAAAAACTGGGTGACATACTGTCGCCGTTTAGTCCCTCTCTCTTGTCTTTCTCTCCTTTCTTTTCTCTTTTGAAAGCCTGACTTTGTGAGTCGTTGAGACATGGTTCACATGTAAGTGTACTAGCATCCCTCCTCACATGCTCTCACTCTCTGCTATAAAGGGCCGGTGCCGCACAGCGTTTGGAGGCAGGACCAAACCATTACATGTAAATAGAGGGGGGTGTTCGATGCTTTGGATAATTAACTTTTGGAAGAAAACAAGTTAAATGAATCGTAAGTTTAGTGAGTACATCATCAATATGACGTTATATTAATGTGAATTATTGATGATTGATGAAAGGTTACTTAAACATTTTTTCTTAATGTTCTAAAAATGTTTGGGGCCCCTGTCAGTCACGGGCCCTTAGAATCGTCCTAACTTTTCACCCCCTTACGGCGCCCCTGGGTATGTGAGAAGAAGAAAAAGGGGAAACTGTCAGATGTTTCCTTCGGCAGGTTTATTGTTCACTTTTGCAGCTTCAGTACACAACCACTGATTTAATCAGGGGTGCACATCAAGCCCCCAGGAAGTGCACCGGACTCTGAGGAAAATATTCGTTGTGGACAAACGGTGGTACTACACTTTCGTATCAGTCGCTGGGCCCAGAAAGACTTTTTCCCATTGACTAACATGTGGGGTGCTAGTGGAGCCTCACAGAGGCGAAACCGTGCCGCACCACACTAATTGCGCCGCATAAGCGCATAGGTGGGCCGCATTTTCGGCTCAGTTGAGGCACCCTCCGCAAGATGAGGCCCCCTCCGCAAGATGAGGCCCCCTCCGCAAGGTGAGGCCCCACGCAGTCTGCATGATCGGCATGTAGGGAGAGACGACCCTGGGAGTAACGGATTACATATAATAGGATTAGGTAGTTAGGATACAAAAAACAGTATTCACTTAGTTACAGAAGAATTTATGATCAGATTACTGTTAGATAAAAAAAAAAATGGGGATTGGAGATATCTCTTCTCTGTAAACTGTATAGTTCTGTTTAAGTGTGAATCTATACGCCTACTGCCTGAATCTATACGCCTACTGCCTGAATCTATACGCCTACTGCCTGAATCTATACGCCTACTGCCTGAATCTATACGCCTACTGCCTGAATCTGCTTTATGGTTTTCACTTTCTTTGTTTAATTTGTTCTGTTTTTAATTCAGTATAACCTATATCATATTTATTAATAGTGTGTGTGAGCTTCACTGTGTGCATTAAACTAAAACTGGGCATTTTGTGTTTAATTTTTGGTGTATATAGGCTATACTGCTACTAAATATGTTGGTTTCTTCTTTCCTATGGTCACATTGTTGTTGTCTTACATTATACACATATTTATTTTCTCTTGTAATTTATTTGCCTGCATATTGAGGTAATCCAAAATTAACGGAAAGTAATCAGGTTACATTATTTGTATTTGTTGAAACTAAGATTAATTTACTGATTACTTTTTCTTTCTTTTTTACAGGTAACGAGTAAATATAACGGATTCCATTTGAGTAACCCTCCAAACCAAACCCTACCTTTTTGTCATTTTCAATCCACAAGTATTTCAGGAAATGGACATTTCCTTAATTTTCTAAAATATACATTAGAAGCGTACTTCAGTTTACACATCACAAGTCTTCTGTGCTCTTGGGGAGCTTTCTAAAGGCTGACAAAAATGCTCTATATAAATGCTCTCAGGTGGTTGCAGTGCACTATGGGAAATGAAGTTGTAATTGGAATGGTCTCTACAAAAGGAGCTGCCAAAATTGGACATATCTCAGCCTCTGATGAATGAAGTTTCACCATTCTTGTTTTTAACTTTATGGAATTGCAAACATTGTTGCTATAGGATATTAATAATCACAACTGATGAGGTTATTCTACCAACTTGTGTTCTAAAAAAGTGTTCTCAAAGCTGGTAAAGGTGCAGCTAGTTTGAATGACTTTGTATACTGCAGGGTAGCTTGTGAATTTACTCCAGGTGGAACTAAAGTCTGATTTAACACTTGATTATGTTTCACATTCAACCAGATCTCTAACTAATGGTATTAAATACATGAGGTGGAGTAAAAGTACACGATTTACCACTGAATTGTAGTGGAGTAGAAGTAGGCTATAGCAAAAAATGGAAATACTAAAGTCAAGTACAAGTAGGCTACCTCAAAATTGTACTTAAGTACTTTATTTGAGTAGATTAGTTACTTTACACCTCTGTATACTGCACATGCACTTTTATATGTAATATTTCATATCATTGGTATGCATTTCCCAGTTTTTTGTTACATAAAATAGCATAAAACAAACGTAGGCCTACAACGTTTACAAAGTTAAACCAGAAATGTTAGCAACTACAAATGAAGTGACTTCCTGACTAACTGTGACTTAATATATTTAAATTAAAAAAAGATTCGTGAAATTATATGGCAGATGAGATTACAGCTGTTCCTGTTGTGTGTATAAATAGTGTTGAAATAAACTGTACTGTGTACATATCAGGGCGGTACTGCGCATGCGCTCCTCATTTAGCTTTATGACTTTAATCAGATTCATCCTGCGTATCACCATGACAGCATAATCCTTTAATATCTTCACCTATTATGTACATACTTTTAAAAATAAGTGTTACACGTCACATTGAATGAGATCCTGGCACGGGACACACACACGGTTTATTGCACAACAATGCACTATTTTCAGCGGTGGATATAGATTAGTTAAAATGTCATCGACTCTAAAGAACGTGTTTAAGGAGCGGTCATACATGGTCTTTATAGTTTGTATTTTGCAGTGATAATGAAAGGAGAATCTTACCTGTGTTTGACCCGGACCAGAGTGGGAGAGCTGTTCCCTATGTCTCTGCTTGCCCCTCCCCCTGCTGCCTGCCCCCCCACACAGCTAACAGTGATAACATGGGCAGGTCTTCACACCCGACGGGATATGGTGCAAGTTCCCAAATATCTCCTTCCTCTTTCAAATACATTATTTGTCTTCGTTGTTTTGCTCCAGTTGCAACCAGTGGTTTAAAGTCACTAAGTAGATACTCAAATACTGTGCTTAGGCACAATTTTGAAGTGCTTCGCACTTCTACACTCCACTGCAATTCAGAGGGTAATGGTGTACTTTTACTCCACCACTACATTCATTTAATTACTTTAGTTACTTTACAGATCTGGATGAATGATGGTAAATATAATCAAGTGTTAAATCAGACTTTAGTTCCACCTGGAGTAAATTCACAAGCTACCCTGCAGTATACAAAGTCATTCAAACTAGCTGCACCTTTACCAGCTTTGAGAACACTTAAATCAGGGGTGCCCACACTTTTTTGGCTGGTGAGCAACTTTTGAAATGACCAGCTCACCGAGGTCTACCAACCAAAAATAAAATCCCAAATTGCAAGGGTTGCTGAATAACACGTTTTATTTATACATGGGATAACTACAATAGGGCTGCAACAAACGACTCATTTGATAATCGATTAATCTATCGATTAATGAAACGACTAATCGACTATTCGGACTATTACTGTATGCCTTGCACAATTTCTCAAACGCTCTCATTTAGCCATCAACTTTTAGATTTAGCTTGAGGTTGTTTTAGGCATGTGGAAACAATGAAGACAAT